ATGGAATGTTTTTACCTGAAGCGTTTAGTTGGATGTTCACTAAATGTTTCATTTGTTAGGAAAACATTGAAAAGTAACATTCTCATTAGGTTTGTTTCCCATTAAGTTCGCAAACCAAGAAAAAAAAATTATTAAAACATTTAAAAATACATTTAGACGTAACATTCTAATAAGCAAAACAGTTATAGAACATATTTTTTAGCTGGGTCCCACCATTTTATGGAATTAACTTGGGGGAAAAAACAGTTTTCTTATTGGGATAAGACTAAATTTACAATCCCAAAATGTTAGTTGGACCTCCTGCAAAACTCCTCTGCATGGGAAGACACATTTTTCATCTAAACTGAATTGTGTCAGAGGACTATCTCTGAACGCCTACACAACACAACATGTGCTAGATAGGAAAATCTTCCAGATTTGAGCTGTGGAGGAGCGTCTGACTCACATGGAGTTGTGGTAGTTGGAAACAACCCCAAGCGACTCTCCTCGGGTTTGATGGCGGAAACATGGGTTATTAGCATTGCAGAAAATCCCTTGGATCCAAGGCAGGATTCCCGTTGAGGGCATAGCCTTGCTGGGAAAATGACCTGCATTTACAGATATGATGAGCAGACAGATGTTGTTGGAAACTCTTTGTTATTTGAAAACTCTTATCATTATCAATATACGGCTGTGAGTGTGACATTGCACAACCGGAACCAACTACGTTAATGTGTATTCTTACATTCATGTTGGCGATACAAGGGATTTGCTCTTCGTAGCCAGACAAGTCCAATGAATAAAACCACAGGCCACAGAATCTCAACCAGGAAGCGAATCTGTACACACAAAAACGCAAAAACACAAAAACTCAGAAAACCGACTGAGTCTGGTTTCTCCCAAGGTTTTTTTCTCCATTCTGTCACCTGATGGAGTTTTGGTTCCTTGCCACTGTTGCCTTGGCTTTTGGCTTGCTTAGTTGGGGACATTTAACATTTAATATTCAATAATATTATTGATCTGCCTTACTTAAGGTGGACGTTGACGCAATTTCTTTTAGAAACAAACTTTGTTATATTGTTATATTGTTTTTGTTATATTGTTTTCATGTTATCACTGTGAAGCGCTTTGATACAATCTGTATTGTAAAAAGCGCTATATAAATAAAGGTGACTTGACTTGACTTGACACACAACAAGAGAGCAGTATGTTCAGAAACACGTCAGATCTGAATGTAGGATTGTAGCAATGCTGGCAGCACTTTGTAATACAAAAAAGCTCAGGTCGTAAACATTAGGTATCATCAACTAACAATAAACAATACTATTTTTACTATTCACATTAATAATACTGTACTATTTAAAGTATTTATTAGTTTATACAATGCTATTTTATACATTAATGCATTTTTAACATTTCAAGTTGTACAAACTAAAACAATCTATAAATTAAAAGTTACAAAAACATAAAATGAAGATGTAAACTGAAACGATACTTCTTTACCCCCTATATTAAATAACTATTGTTTTTATTGAAAACACAAAATGAATTGTGGTTAATTAATTTATATAATTTATTTAGATTATACTCTCGGTTTCTGATGATCAAATTTTTTACATCAAGCAGCTTTCGTCATAATTACCACAGAAATACAGGAAATATCTTACTCTATATGGGCCTCGATTACTACTGTAATAAATTACTGTTCTTTCATCAATAGTCATAAATACATAATGCATTAATTTGAAAGAATTTAAAGATTTAAGATTGCACAATAAATACAGCAATTTTGAACAATACAATATTTTTTTTCATGTTATGGTTATTTAACTGATAAATGGCCAATATTAAAATTGTATACTATTTTGTCTAAATAAATGGAAAACAAAACTAAAACTTAAATTGTTTTTGAATTTAAGCATTAACATTTTATACAGTATGATCAAATTTATATTCATTTTGAGATAGGGTAATCTAACTGTAAAAATATGCAAAATGAGTATGTAACATTCGATATCCAATATTGACAGATAAATCTAAAAAAAAAAAATCTCCAAAAGCGCAAATAAACAAATTGGTACCAGTAGCCTATATAGGCTAAATCATGCATAGAATTAAACCGTACTAATGTTGCCCTGATGTTAAACAGCAGACAAAAAAGTACACACATTATTTACTAAAAATACACTCTAAAAAATGCTGGTTTGTTTGTTTGGATCAAATATGCACAAACCTAACCGTTGGTTTAAATTTTTAAATTCAATTGTTTAAACCCAACGGTTGGGTTCATCCATATTTGACCCAAACATTGGGTTGAAACAACCCAGCATTTTTTTTAGAGTGTACACTGTTAAAGGTGTACACTTTGAACATTTTGAAGCGAAACAAACACTCTTTAAAAACATCCAACACTCAGTTTTCCGCTTCAGAGTCTTATATTTTGGTTTGTGTGGTATGTCACACCTCATTGCCTAAATCCTGCACTCAGAACCAGATTTCTGAGGCTTGTGTTAAATTATATAGAGCGCTCTAAATATAAGCTGTCTTTCTTGAGGCTTTAGAAACTACAGCCTGCGATGATGGTTGTTTTGTGTCCCGGACTCCGTTGAATCGGTTAATTGTAGGCTACCTTTTGTCTCTTGCGGAGTGTCCAGTTCTTCCACAGCAGCAGACGGGTCTTGCTGCCTGTGTTCATGGCTCCAAACTCAACCCCTTGTAGGGGTCACCAAAACACAACAAACCTGGCAACACATCACATACTTCACTCTTACAATCAACCTGGGAGAACACTTGCAGAAATGTTGTAGCCTATAACAATTCAAGTGACGGATAAATAGCTACTGTTAGCATTGTAGAGCTTTACATGTGACCATGTGATCAGATTTTAGACGACCAACAGTCATTCCTTTATTTTTATGGGGTTTTTTTTGTTTTTTTTTTTTGTTTTTACAGCAGTTTTAGTGCTTGGAGACTTGTTTGTTAGTCATGTGAAATTGGGTCACAAATCTTTAAAGGAAAATATGGGCCTAGCATTGAACCACTGAACTATTTTGAGCCACAGCAAGACCAAAACAGTCACAGACAGAGCTGTTATTATGTCTGTTAGACGTCTAATTTTCCACAGTGATCTTTTTACACAAACACTGATTAAAGCTCTTTGAGTTCAGGTTCAGATACAAATGTCTCATCTTACAGAGTCTCTTGACAGAAATATTGCGAGTATACCTGATCTTAAATGGCTAAATGAATATTATAGAATTAAAATGCCTTATTTTAGGGTTACCAAGCATATTCTCTACCGAGGCAAAAACCTGTCGTGAATGTACACTATACTGTTCAAAGGGAAGTCTCTTGTAAATGTAAATAAATATGTATTTTCAGGATCATTACTCCAGTCTTCAGTGTCACATGATCCTCCAATCATTCTAATATGATTTGCTGCTCAAGAAAAATTATATCAATGTTGAAAACAGTTGTGCTGCTCAACTCAACATTTTTGAGTAAAACGTGATCATTTTTTTTTTTCAGAATTCTTTTAGAAACAATAACTTTCAAAAGAACAGCATTCATTTGAAATATAAATCTTGTTAAATTACAAATGTCTTTACTGTCACTTTTGATGAAATGAATGTATCCTTACTGAATAAAAGTACTAATTTATTTTAATATATATATATATATATATATATATATATATATATATATATAAACGTTTGAACAGTATTGTATGACCAAAAAATGTTATGCTTACCTCAGTGCTGAAAAGATTTGAGTCCCTCAATATTCGCATGTAAAGGTACATAATTACAGTCCATGATAGTCGCTGAAACACAACAGCCAAACTTGCAGCTCTTGACTGACTCAGGTGATACCACTAATCTGATTGCCTTAATCTGCTGGGTTAACTTGGCCATCAGCAAAGCCCTCCATTTTAACATGACTACTATTTCTTTACACGTACATGTGGTGGATCGATGGATTAGGAGATGCTAATAATGTGTGTTGTGTTCTATTATGTATTATATGGGCATTTGGAGTATGTGTGCTGTATTTCATATCTCCTATTTCTGTGTTTGTTGGATGAGTCAGAGCTGAGCAGCTCAGTGCTGGAGCTCAGGGACATGTCTAATTAGGGATGAGGGACAGAGTCTGTCCCGGACAGTTACAGATACACAGGGAGTATATATATATATATATTATATATATATATTTATATATATATTATATATATATATATTTCTATTTAGCTTTAATCTATTTTTAAATTCAGTTTTAGTTTGAATAATTTTAGTACTTTAGTACTAATATTTATATTTTATTTCAGCTTTATTTCAATAAACAAAAATGATTATAAGTGGTTTTAGATTTAGTTAACAATAACAACACTGCGAGGAACTCAAACCATTCAGTGGCGACAATATCTTTTTGATTTGGGCCAGTAATAAACCACCAGTAATATAACTAGCAACCACAACATTTTTATAAATAAATAAACCCTATCCCCTCGGACAGCACGCCAAATACGCATAACCTTTACTCTATTTAATTATATCCAAGTGTGAACTCTTGAAACACCTCAGCGACTGCCTAACAATGCCCTGGCCACAACCCATAGCATCAAAGTGGCCACTTATTTTTCATTCCGAAATTTAAAAAATGTAGTCTTTATATTTAATCCACTTTTACAGTGCATGTAAAATGGACAAAACAGAAAAGAAATATGTGCAGAAAATATAAAACTAGTTTAGTTTTCACTAAATATTTAATCTGCAAACATTTTGCACGTCTTCAAGAATTGTTGGTATGTTTATGGCAGCAGGTTATGAGTACAAAATGAAAACAAATGCATATGTAACTCGGAAATAAAACAGAAACAGATGCACTTACGCAGCCTAAAACGTGCAAGAGCAGAAGCGTTTCTGAGAGACAAACTTTAAAACAAAAAAAAAAACAGCCGGCAGTAACAGTATTACATCATGCCGAGGCAGTGATGATGCGGTGGTTAGGCTTAGCAAGTGCATCAGAATGAACAGGTTGGCATACATTTACAGTACAGTACAGACAATACTATACACACCTGTTGAGTTGAAACAATTATTACACAGAAATTCTGATTTTAATAACACATTAATATAACTGATTATGTAATGATATAGAAGTGTCTCTTGGCCATCTTATCACAGTGAAGGAGATAATGAGAATGAGACACATTTGGGATAAATGTTCAGAAACCATATACAAAAATAACATAAAAGAGTGCTCACTTACAGTTAAGTGAATGTCACAAATGTTTTGGACCTTTGCTGATATTTCGGGCTCATACAGTAGCTTAAAGGGACATTAACAAAGAGCTAGTAATCCAGAAAGAAATTCACGGAGATGTTTCACCTCTCCTGTAATATTTTTGCCCTTTCTCAAAGGGATAATATTAAAACAATTTCATATATACAGTATGGCACAAAAAGACATACAGATATAAAGCCGTAGACAGATCTACTAGACTATTAACATTGACATTGTGAGGGCTGTGGAGGAATCAGTCACTGTCACATATCAGGAGAATACTGTACCAAGCGTGACAAAAACTGCCCTAGAGAACAAGCCCAGAAGCCAACAGATTTGGCTTTTTTAACAGTCAGGCGTTTTTTTAAACAAAATGCGCCTCTCGCTGCTCCAGCTCCTGCATACGGCGACTGCGCCTCTGATAGAGGGGTTTGGCGTCTGTTGGGTTAAACTCCTCAGCGCTGGATCCTGGAGACTGAGGCGGCGAGAGCGTGATGGGGCTTAGCGATTCGCTTTCCGACAGTCCTTCTTCCGCTCCTCCTGATACAGTGCTTGTCACTGCTGTAAAAGTGGGCTTGGGCGTTAGAGCGATAGTCACTGTTGGCGGTGTGGCGGGGGGCGTCGTCACTGCTGTGGAGACTGTTGCTGCTGTTGGTAATATGGTAATGGCTGTTGTGTAAACTGTTCCTGAAGTAGTGGTTGGTGCTGCTGAAACGGTTTTTGACAGGGAGTCAAATGACCTGAATGGGCCTCCTGATGGAGGTCTGTAGAACGTTCCAGGAGGTGGCTTTAGTGTCCGTGGAGCTCGGAAGGATATTGGAGCCCCGCTGGACTGACTTGTACCATCTTTTCTAGCAGCGATGCTGTGGGGTACAACACTAATTTCAGACGGTTTCGGCCCGCCAGAAGGTGGCAGGTTGGCCACTATCATTGCAGTTCTGGGTGTCACATCGTAATGTCTGTACTGTCTGTCCCAAGTCCTCCTCAGCGTCTGAGTGTCGATGAAGGGGTTCCTGTAACAGTTTGAGAGTCGTGGTGTCGAAGGCTTCTCCGGTTCACTGGTCTCCTGAATGGCGGCAGATGAGTGTTCATTCTCCACGGTGTTGCGGCTGTTGCGCTCGTTGAGCAGTCGGTCCACGGGCATGCTGATTGGTCGAGACACCTGCTTGGAGCGCTGGGGACGCAGCTGCACCAATCGGCTGTTGGCACCGGGCCGGCTGAACACAGATGTGGCCTTCTGCATGTCCAAAGGAGCTGAGTCAACCCCATTTATATCTGAGCCCTCACCCACTGGAGAGAAGAAAATACTCTTAAACTTAATTAAACGATTCATTCAAAAGAGGCTCTCAGTAACCTCTTACTGCATTTCAAATATGAATACGACTTTTGCATTTCCGGGTCAGTTTTGACCCAGTGGAACATAAGTTTATAAAACAGGCATAACTTCATATTTTTCTAAACTAAAAACCATACAGTATTTGAAAAAAAAAGAAAAAAAGTAAAGGCCCTTTCACACCAATCATGTTTTTTTCTCAAAATTGGGACAGGAGAGCACTTGCGTTACTTATTTGAAAAAGTAATTCAGATATTTTGTTGTAAATTTAAAAGTAATGCATTACTTTGCAAGTTACTTGAAACAAGTAATCTGATTACGTAACCCCAACACTGATTGTCAGTATTATTACACTGTTTTTAAACAAAATACAAACAATTTTTCATTCTGCCATGGTTCATCAGTTTTGATTTTACCAAAGATGAGCAGAGACGCTCATACTAACCAGGTGTTTGCGCTCTATCATCCCCTGACTTCATCTCCTTCACTTCCCCCAATAGCTGTGCAGAGGTAATCACAGACGAGTGTCTCTTGTAGACTTTCGCACTCTGTATGAAGAATAAACACAGATCACAAATTATAAATGCTAATATTTCCTAAAATTTTCCTTAAAGCACGTGAGGTCTAGCTTCCGTTCTCGGGCCCATCTCACCTCTTTGATATCCATGAGAGATCGGGAGTGGCGGCTTAGTTTTGGCTCTTTGTCCTGGATGTTGGGCACAAGTGAAGCCTGTGATGCCGTAGGACTGGTGGGAGACACAGGGCTGAGGGGGACATCAAAGATCATCTGGTGGTAACTGATGAGCAGTTCCACCATGCGGGCCTGGTGGGGGTAGTCAACCAGAGAGGACAGCGACACTTCCGCTTCCAACTGCCTTGGCTTGATGAGCGTGGGACCGAAGATGATACCCAGGTTACTAGCCGTCATCTTGTTCTCCTCAGATTGCTCTGTTACTCTGTAGGACAATGATGTTTTAGAGTGGTGGATTTGTATTTCACTCTCACTAAACACATTTAGGGGCTTCAAGCAACAAGCAATGAAACCAGATTCAGACAATGGATTCCTGCTTTTTGCTACATTCGTTTTATTTTCCAGATGCTTATGTTTATGGTTTGTGTTAGCATACCTGTGCAGATGTGTGATGAGGAACTGCAGGGTTCTGTAATGGGCTGCAGGAAGCTGGCGAAGGAGGTCTCTAATTTTGAAGAGAACTCTTTTAAGCTCAATGCTGAGGCACAGCTGCTCCCCTGGTGATTTCTCTTTAGCAGAGTCAGTCTCATCCAGGTTCTGAGTCTCTTTTGCCAGCCCAATGACATCATTATAATACCGATACAGAATCAACGGCTCTGGCAACTAAAAAAAAAAAAAAAAACAATTATTCTTTTTTTACAGGCAATGTCAATTAACAAAAAGTAAAAAGAAAAAAAGTATATTTTCCATTCATTTCTCCCATAGGGATTTTAAAAAGTCATTGTTAAAGCGTTATTAGCCATGAACCAAGCCAACCAGCTATGAGGTGATTCATAACATTACAAACTTTGATTTGAAGTATTTGAAAATCTTACAAAAATACAAAGGTACAAGACTAAAAATGATATTTAACGCTTTAGTGATAGAAAAAACTACAATCCTATTAGCATTGCAAACAGCACAATCAAATTAAAAACAAAGAAATTTAGAACTATTCATTTAAAGATGTTGATTATTTATATAAAAATAACATTTTAAGTTTATTGCAAAATATGCATATATATTCAAACGTTAAGTATTTGATTTCATCTTGACTTGATTACATATTCACAGTGCTTCATGGGAGTTGGCGGAACTAACGTGATCTTTTGGCACATTTTGCTTGTTTCGAATCTCTGATTGGTGGAAATTTCTGTACAGCATCATGGGTAATGTTGTTTTTTTCCACCACGAATTCCCCTGTTAAACATGATTATTTAAAAAGTAAGTTGAAATAATATGAACAACAGCTTCAACAGAAGCAAAAAAGACCTACTGTGAGCTACAAGGTTGTTAATCGACGGTATATGCTTTCGTTGAAGCCATCAGCCCACTTTATTTCAACTTACTTTTTAAATAATCATGTTTAACAGCTAATTCCTGGTGAAAAACTCGGCAGAGAAATCTCCACCAATCAGAGAATCGCAGTAAGCAAACCATGCCAAAAGATCTTGTTGGCTCCGCCCTCTGCCATGAAGCACTGTGAATAATGTAATCAAGTCTCCCTACGCTCTCAAAATACTTCAATATTTGTGTGTATATATATATATGCATATTTTGCAATACATGTAAAATACACCGTTTCTATATACAACCAACATTTTTAAATCAACAGATTTATATATATCCATCGTTTTATTTGGATTATGAAATGAAATATATTTTATTTTCCCTAATAGGGAAATTTGTTGTGGACTCAATTATCAACGTTTCTACATGATCTGTTACACCCAGAATAATTCTAAAATGCTGTACATTAACAATGCTTTACATATATTACACGGATCACATTTCATTACATTCACATTCACCACACACGTGGGTAACTGCTACAATACATAAAAGGATAGGAAGTATTACTGTCATTTGCAATGCTTCATTAGGTTGAATTCTTTACCTTATTAAAGTCATTAAGTATACGGTATTGTAGCTTTGTCTTTTTATTTGATTTTCAAATACTTGTTTTGCTTCAAAACAAAGTTTGTAATGTTGTGATTCACCTATTAGCTGGTTGGTTTGGTTCATGGCTTATAACTTTAATGAAGACTTTGAAAAAAATCTGAAACCATGAACACTGAAAAAACCGGGCGGGCACTGTTGCACTCTAATATGTCAAGTTGCATAAAGACATGATGAAACCGGGAAACATATTTGTCCCACCACACCTGTCTTAGGTAAAGCTTGAGCACGTTGCTTATGTCATGTGGGTGGAGGTCAGAAAGCTCCACTAAGTCCTTTCCATTCTCAAAGGCCTGGCACAGCTTTTCCACACGAGACTTCGCCCCATTCACACGATAAATGCCCTTGAAATGCACCGAAAGTAGGCGTCATTAACAAGATGACTCAGGCATTGAATTAAAGCAATTTCTTTCAGTTGCATCTCAATTCTTTACCTTAATGTTCAGGGCACGACTCTCGATTTCAGAGGTGCATTTTTTTATGATGAAGGGGATGCCGTCGGGACTGTTCTTAGCTACTTGGGCGAAGTCAATCCCGAACAGGTGCAGTCTGCCCTGGAGCTTCTTATGACCACACTGAATGGCAAGAGTCTCCAGGCATTTCTTATGACAGGCCAAGGAGCACTACGGAATAAGAGATTATAGAATGACACACGGCTCTACTGAACAATGTGAACTGAATCAGTGTGGGTGTTGATGATGATGACGTACCTCTTCACACTCAGCCCCGTGGAACACCACCAGACTGTCACACTCTCTGCATTTGGAAGGCGCTCTCAGTTTCCGCAACTTGTGGGTGTGCGCTGCTTTTGACATCTGAGTATTGCGGAAAGGGCCGGGAGAACTGGCCGCTTCCAGCACCATCTCAGAGAGGCCTGAGACGACAGAAGACAATGTTTCGAAAAGCTAATTTGCGAATAGTTTAAAAACACTCTTCTGGCCCATCAACGAAGTTCTGGTTTGGAAATGGGATAATCAACAGTCTTAAATGTGAGTGGGGGTGGGAACTAAAAGAAATGTAATGATTCTGCTTTGTATTCCGATTTAATGAATGACTCTTATGGTACTTTTGAGGAAGCACAACCCTCTCTCCATTTCCTCAAATGTATTTCCCAAGTCTAACATGTGTTTACATTCAACAATTATAACTGAAATGTAACACTTTTGGTGGAGAGACAGGAACCGCTAACTGTGGCATTTCGCCAGTGTCAACACCAAGCCCATCTGTACAGCTGCACAGAGAGAAAAACATGGGTGCGAGCAATTCAGCACTCGCGTGTGGTGTCACACATCTATGAACACAGACGGCCACAATCACGCGATTCAGTTTGTACTACCAACCATTATCTGATGGGGAAGGTGGTTCCCTCTCATCCAGGTCATCTGCAGAAGACATGGTACCAGTTGAGGGAGTTCTGGGAAGCCTGCGTTTGAAATCCCCTTTAGTATGAAGACACACAAACACACATATTAGATACTTACGTCCTGCAGAGCACTTCTCCGTCCTGTCCAATGAGAACTAGGTCAACCACTTTACAAGCAAAACTTACAAACGTGCCTAAAACAGCAATGTTTTTAGAGGAACTTCTTTTTAGGATATAATATATACAGGGCTCAACAGTAAGAATGGCTGATGCCCCTGGTCAGAGTGAAAGCATTTCAGGATGTCTGGCAAAACTGTCACATGCCTGATTAGGTCATTGCTTATATTCTCACATCCCAACGATTTGTTGATCACACATATGTTTTTATGCCTGGTTTTCAGTGAAGTTGTGAACGTTGTTCAGCAAATTGTTAAATTCTGCTGATGCAACTGTATCACTAAGGTCACATTGTCTGGCTGGCTGATGTGAATTAGGTTTTGGATTCATGAAATGATAACTGCCACAACAGCTGTAGAATTTCCAGCAACAATTGCACATTACAAACATTATAAATGATCTGTTGTAAATTGTTTAGTGAAAAATATGTTTTTATGACATTTATAAAAATCTTTTCCTAAACAATAAAATGTATACTTTAGGTGGTAATGTTGGCATGGAAAATAAAACAAAAATACAAAAAATTAGTGGAAGCAGTAGTATATTGTTTAATGTCAGAACAGAATGAATAACTAAATGAATGAATGAATGAAATCAGTCAATAAATAAATAAATAAATAGGGGAAATAATAGTATATTGTTTAATGCCAGTAAAGAAGGCTATTTTTGGCAAGAACAAGGTGAAATGAATAAACGAATAAATAAATATTACACAGAAAATGAACAGATATAAGAAGCCATTTTTAGATGTACCGTACTTGTGATATATTTTAAATAAAGTAGTGTCCCATATTGTGAAATGGATAGTAGGATGAAATGTGTGTCAGAAAAAGCACCTGGACTGGCTGTGGGGGAGTCCATGGAGCGAGACTCGCTGCTTCCCCCAGCACTCTCTGAGTCACTGCACATCCCTCCACCGCCAGCACTGCCTGAGCTCCAGGCCCGCTGTGAACCCTGCGTCCTTAACACTACAACACACAGAATTAACCTTAGAATTAACTTTACATTCCAAATCTCTAGTCTCCATTAAACTGGGGGAGAAAGTCCTGTTTGTGTTTGGGGGAATCAGTCTGCCTGAATGTTTCATTCAGTTCATAGCTTTCAACTGATGTTCTTAAAGTCCCCATGAATTCAAAATTGACCATACTTACTTTGTTTGCCTAAATTGATCGGTTTGTGGTAAACAATTCATCCATGCAAGTCAATCCACACAAAAAAATTTTTGGCTTCGTAATCTTTAATCAAAATTTGAAATTTCCCCTCCCCTCTGCATTGGAGGACCTTCCCTGATGACGTAGGTTTGACGGTTTGGGTGTCTGCTTAACATCCGTAACCACGCCCCTCCAACTGACAGTAGACAGGCTGAATGAAAACACCTACTTTTCTAGATCCAATCAGGTGCTAGTTGGAAAAAAGGCCACGCCCACTATCTTTCCTCATTTAGTATTCCGTTTCTCTCGGAAATACGTCACAACACTGGAGAAAAGTCGTTTGCAACTTCTGGTTCACGGGGACTTTAATGCTTTAGTTTAGTCATCCAGCCTGAATGCTCAGGCTGTAATCCAGCAGGCTGATGATGTCATAGCACCAGGGACTTTTTAGAAGCCGAGAGCCGATCTGGGTTTGGGCCTTAATCCTGACTGCTTTGAACGGCCAGCGCTGGGTAAAAAACCCACAGTGGCCATAAAAATAATAACCTGTACAGGAGATTGAAGCTTTCCAAACAAATGTGCCTCATATTTGCAAACATCTTAGGATTTTGTTTAACTGGAAAGAAAATAAATGTCTTAGAGTTTTAGAGTATAACAAATGCAAGTTGAGTAGGTTGATGTCCCCCAAAGAGTGTAAAGACAGCCTGAAGTAGCAACTTTGGCTCAACCAATTGTGTGAGTTTGGGCCAGGATTATCGGTTTGTCCAAACAGTGGTAGAAGGGGAATTATGTAATTATTGTTCTCATTCCATTTAGTGCCACCGAAACTTTTCATTGTAAACCTACAAACTTTTAGTCACCAGCCTAGATCTTTATTGACAAAGATACAACATCTCCTACCTTGCATGTCTATACTGCTATTGGACCGTCTCTCTGCGATCTTGGTTTTGCAGGGTTGTACGGTACCCTCGACCTCATCTGCACTCTGGTTATCCGCAGAGGTAACAGAATCCTGTGACAGATTCCCATGGGACGAGCGGGTGCTGCTCTGAGACCTCTTATGAATGGACATTCTGGAAAGGAACGAAACTTGTTAAAGCAGGCTTTATAAAAATACCAAAACAGGCTGTGCAAAATCTCTGCTGATTGTGAAATGGGTTACTCAAAAGGCAAGCGTGAGATTTGAATGCACTGTAAAGAGATGTGATAGCACTGGCCAGTATGTTTGTACATGGGTGTGATTCAGAGGTCAAGCTGTAAAGCAGAGTTTGCACAGGGTAGTGATTACGGACAGCAGAACTTGGGTAAACAACGCGCCAAGACCAACCCTTGTTTCGTTCATCATTCTTCCTGAGGAAGATGCAAACAATGCATAACTTGCATGGAAACTTGAGTGTGGACTAACCCAGTTTTTGAGGAAGTGGTGATGTCCTGAGACAGAGACTCCAGCCACACTCGCTCTTTAGGCAAGCTGCACACAAACTCCGAGTAGCGCTGGCCTGGCTCATATTTTTTGGCCTGTTCACTGAGAGCTTGGTAGTTTACAGATAGAGGCACAGTCTGAGCCTGCTGCATCTGGAACCAGTTCACTGTCACCTACAAGAGTTCATGAGAACAGTCAGTATGCAATAATAAAAAAAAAAAAAAATTATTTTCAATATAAACACAACCATTTAGAAGATGGGGGTCAATAAGAATTATGTTTTGACTTAAATTAATACATTCAGCAAGGATGGAGAGGATAAAAAGTTTATAATGTAACAAGATTTCTATTTCAAATAAATGTTGTCCCTTTGAACTTATCAAAGAATCCTGAAAAAAAAAATGTAGGCTATCGTTGTTTCCTCAAAAAAAATTGAGCAGAACAACTGTTTTCAACACTGATAATGAGAAATGTTTCTTGAGCCACAAATCATCATATTAGAATGATTTCTGAAGGATCATGTGACACTGAGTGAAGACTGGAGTAATGACCCCATCACAGGAACAAATTACATTTTAAAATCATTTTCAAATGTAATAATATTTCACAATATTACTGTTTTGCTGTATTTTTTATCAAATAAATGCATCATTGGTGAGCATATTAGATTTCTTTCAAAAACATTTACAAATCTTACAGACCCCAAACTTTTGAACTGTAGTGTTATAAAGTGATGTAGTGATACAGACCGCTTTGAGAGTCAGGTCGCATTGGAAGACCAGCTTCCGAATCTGAGTGAGGATCTCACTCTTAGTGCTTGACAAGCCGACTTTCTTTGCCTCTAGATCAGCCACACAGGCTTTATACTGCTCCTGCGCTTCCTCTGCCTGGAGTCACCACAAAAACAGAACGTGAGTCAAACACAATAAAACCATAGTGATTTTACTAGCCTGTTTTAAGCCGCAGTATGTCATTAGCAGCACCAAACCAAACCAAGGTTTACACAAATGTAACATTTTATGAAGAAAATGCTCGCCTGTTTGCTACGGTGTACTGAGTGAGGTTTAGTGTGATGCTATGTAGTTGCTGGAGTTGTTATAGCAACAGTAATGTTTAGATTATATGGCCAAATTTTCAGACAGTGCATCAGATGTTAAGAAAAATCAAATGAATTCCCACAAACTCTGTATCTTATTGCCACTTTGATGCCCAGTAAACAAGGACAATAAAAGCAAGGGTGTGTGTGTGTTTGTGCAGTCTGTGACGGTACTGGAGTTGAATTTAGAGTTAAAAAAATTCTTTATAGAGCACGTTCTGCAGTACCTTCTGTAGGGCCTCTTCCTCCACCCTCCGCTTCTTCTCCAGAGTCCTGCCTCCTGCTGTTGGCTGCTCCTCCTCGGTGCGGCTGGTGGAGCTGCGTGCTTTCTCGTACTCCTCTCTCTTCTGCACCTTCAGCAGACGAGCCTTCTTCAAAGCGTTCTCGGCCTCGCTCTGAAAACACGCATGGGTTATAAAGCGCTATCGTTCTTAAGAAACGTTAGTAATGAAATTCAAGTAATCATAGGTACCGTTTTCTTCAGCTCTCTTTGCCATTGTTCCTTTATCTCTTTCCTCTGCTTGTCCAGGTCATTCTTGCGGGCCAGTAGTGGCTGTTGGAATTATGTGAATTTTATCGTATTATAGGAAATGATTAGTTGAATAGTTACTTAAAAGTGTACAGTAGAGTCAGTCAACTGAATATACCTGTATGAATTTGTTGGTTTGAAGAGCTGTAGCCGTTTGGAGCAGAACATGATTGTACTCGATCTCATTTTTAAAGGCAGAGACGTAAATATCCCGGAATGGCATGTAGTCCTTAGATAAAAACACACAGTCACACAATAATGTCACTTAGAGGCCCAAAACCAAATACAATAACGTTCAAAGGTTTGGGGTCAGTACGATTTTTAAAAAATGCAATTAATTCCTGTGATGACAAAGCTGAATTTTCAGCATCATTACTCCAGTCTTCAGTGTCACTTAAGAATATGCAGATATATGTTATCCAAAAAAAAAAAAAAAATTTGATGCTCAAGAAACATTTATTATTATTATGTTGAATGTTGAAAACAGTTGTGCTGCTTAACATTTCAGTTAACAGTGACAGACAAAAGAACAGCATTTCTTGTAACCTTATAAATGCCTTTACTGTCACTTTTGATCAGTTTAATGCATCCTTTATAAATAATCGTACTCGCCCTAAATGTTTGAGCATCATGTTTGATCAAAACAACATACTAAAAAGACCATCACCTGCTGACTTGCTACTGCCTTTGCAGATTCTGCCATCTTGGCAAAACCTTTTGCACATTCCATGTCTGTCAAACACAGAGAGACCACATGAAACACTAAAGATCAACCTTGAAGACTCAAAACAAGTAAGATCAGGCTTTAAGAGTGGACTGACCCAAGCTGAGGCGTTTTTCCACCCAGGCCAACATGTCTTTGGTGTATTTGGACCAGGCTTTGGCATAGAGCAAGGCCGACTCTACTCCACTGTCATTCTTCAGCAGGAGGAGGTCCACCTGCTCCACAGTGGACAGCTCTGGAGACAGAGCATGATCTGGAAACACACACCCAAAACGCCGCATATGAACACACGCATACAAAAAAATACACAAACGCTCCACATTGTTTAAAAAGATTGCTAAAAATGCACAGAGGAGCCCTTTGAAGACATTTATATTTCCTCAACCTCGTCTCTGCGCTCTCTAAAACTGTCATTTAAAATCTACTATTAAATGTTACCGCCTTATTTGGTTTATAGGCCAAATGTTACAAGGCAAATTTTACAAGTTAGCCTTATTAAAGGCAGCGACAGCCCTCAAATTGGTGGCAGACTTGCTTGTTAGAGGACTAAATAGTCTCCACGTTTCCCATAAGAGATGTTTCTAAAACTGACACTAATCTGTGTTCGCATTAGATGCATGTACTATATATTGCGTGGCATGAGCGTGTGAGATCATCTCATAAAATCTCTGCTTAACCTTCGTCAAATGCACTGACACGCAGCTCAGCCGCGCTGGATCCAAGCACCCCGCCCCATAAGCCACATGTGGTTCCCATTCCTCATACAAATGTCCAAAAAAAAAAAAACCCAAAGAATGTCAACCATTTGCCAAACAAGAAGAATGTTAGACTATATGAAAAACAACACAAGTGTGAAGGTATGGGGTGTGTAGAGCTCTCTCTTGTCGTTTATGTCCCAAGTCAGTACTGCTCATCGGTCTCTCTGCTAGAACAACACCTACAAAACCTGTGTGGTTTGTTTAAACTAGTAAACTTAAAGTTAACTTCAAACTAAAATGAGCGTTGTGATTTACTGCAACACCTCGACGGCACAAGCCTGCTATCTTTGTGATAAAAACAGTGATAGAAAGATGTAAAAGGCGGCTACATAAAGAAGAAAGGAAATCCATTTACCTGCCAGATCATTTTGACTGCAGCCCCGTGAATCTTCAGAGAGGTTATCAAAAGACTAGAAGAGATAAAGGGAAAGACGTTTCACACGGGATGAGAAGTTTGATTACAGAGGTGAGGGATGAGAAGGTGCTTCTCTTTCATCTTGTCTCTCAACATCGAGGTCGATCAAAGCTTGAAAACCCTGCTCTTTAAATCACAGGTGCCAGCCAGGTTTCACTATTTTCAAAGAAGACATCTAAACTTAAAGGTAGGGTAGGCATTTTCGGAGAGGCTAGCAACTTTCAAATCATAAGATCCCACCCTCCCTTCAGAGCGTCTCCAAAGCCACGCTTTCTTCAAAACACATGAACACGGATAACCAGAGCAGAGTCTGCAAAGCGGTAAATTAAGGTGTTAAATTACCTCATGTTTTTACATAACATTACAATAATAATGAACGTAAACAACTTAAAGAGCGCTGGCTTGTTCAACCTGACTGCTAGAGATTCATTTCGCCGTTGATAGTTTTGCCATAGAAGCACATACATTTTCTTCAGCTCTCTTTGCCATTGTTCCTCTCTTTCCTTTCCAGGTCATTCTTGAACATCACGGGTTGCCATCTCTTGATTACAGTAGTTACTGCATGAACACAGCATAAGCCCGTTGTTTTGGTTCAAGAGGAACTGTAAAAGGTGCAGTTTGTTTGTGGTGCTCAGTGACTGTCTGTCTAGAACTCTGTATAGCCGGCTTAAGGAACACGCTGATGACGTGTGATATTTGCGCGGAGGTATGGAAATACGTAGGTTGACGGGCAGATAGGGCATCGTATCATATCGAACCATATGCAATGACTGGACAAAAATGTTCTGGTCCTGAGACTTCCACAGAAGATATACAGGTCCTTCTCAAAAAATTAGCATATTGTGATAAAGTTCATTATTTTCCATAATGTAATGATAAAAATTAAACTTTCATATATTTTAGATTCATTGCACACCAACTGAAATATTTCAGGTCTTTTATTGTTTTAATACGGATGATTTTGGCATACAGCTCATGAAAACCCAAAATTCCTGTCTAAAAAAATTAGCATATTTCATCCGACCAATAAAATAAGTGTTTTTAATACAAAAAAAAAAGTCAACCTTCAAATAATTATGTTCAGTTATGCACTCAATAGTCAATACTTGGTCGGGAATCCTTTTGCAGAAATGACTGCTTCAATGCGGCGTGGCATGGAGGCAATCAGCCTGTGGCACTGCTGAGGTGTTATGGGGGCCCAGGATGCTTCGATAGCGGCCTTAAGCTCATCCAGAGTGTTGGGTCTTGCGTCTCTCAACTTTCTCTTCACAATATCCCACAGATTCTCTATGGGGTTCAGGTCAGGAAAGTTGGCAGGCCAATTGAGCACAGTAATACCATGGTCAGTAAACCATTTACCAGTGGTTTTGGCACTGTGAGCAGGTGCCAGGTCGTGCTGAAAAATGAAATCTTCTTCTCCATAAAGCTTTTCAGCAGATGGAAGAATGAAGTGCTCCAAAATCTCCTGATAGCTAGCAGCATTGACCCTGCCCTTGATAAAACACAGTGCACCAACACCAGCAGCTGACATGGCACCCCAGACCATCACTGACTGTGGGTACTTGACACTGGACTTCAGGCATTTTGGCATTTCCTTCTCCCCAGTCTTCCTCCAGACTCTGGCACCTTGATTTCCAAATGACATGCAAAACTGAGCAACAGTCCAGTGCTGCTTCTCTGTAGCCCAGGTCAGGCGCTTCTGCCGCTGTTTCTGGTTCAAAAGTGGCTTGACCTGGGGAATGCGGCACATGTAGCCCATTTCCTGCACACGCCAGTGCACGGTGGCTCTGGATGTTTCTACTCCAGACTCAGTCCACTGCTTCCGCAGGTCCCCCAAGGTCTGGAATCGGTCCTTCTCCACAATCTTCCTCAGGGTCCGGTCACCTCTTCTCGTTGTGCAGCGTTTTTTGCCACACTTTTTCCTTCCCAGACTTCCCACTGAGGTGCCTTGATACAGCACTCTGGGAACAGCCTATTTGTTCAGAAATTTCTTTCTGTCTTACCCTCTTGGTTGAGGGTGTCAATGATGGCCTTCTGGACAGCAGTCAGGTCGGCAGTCTTACCCATGATTGCGGTTTTGAGTAATTAACAAGGCTGGGAGTTTTTAAAAGCCTCAGGAATCTTTTGCAGGTGTTTAGAGTTAATTAGTTGATTCAGATGATTAGGTTAATAGCTCGTTTAGAGACCCTTTTCATGATATGCTAATTTTTTTAGACAGGAATTTTGGGTTTTCATGAGCTGTATGCCAAAATCATCAGTATTAAAACAATAAAAGACCTGAAATATTTCAGTTGGTGTGCAATGAATCTAAAATATATGAAAGTTTAATTTTTATCATTACATTATGGAAAATAATGAACTTTATCACAATATGCTAATTTTTTGAGAAGGACCTGTATGTAATTTTTTTAAATATATGTAGACCACAAAAAGTGTTTCTGAAAAACATTGCCTACCCTACCTTTAAAGGGACAGTTCACCAAAAAATGAAACGTAATAGAGGGTATGCGCATGACGTCACCGTCGGCCGGAGTGAATGCGGTCACGCCCACAAGTGGCAAAAAGACTGAGCGGCAGCATTTGTTTTCAGCGTGAATGCCGTGAAAATCACACAAAACACATCTAAAACGGGAAAGAGCTTTGCGATTGACTGTACAACTAGATTTGACCAGAAATCTGAGGTACTGTATATTTTTACAGACTGCAAAAAGCTACAGACCAGACTATATTCTGCATAATTGGATGTTTTTAAATAAACACTGACAAAAAACTATACAAGTTTTAGGGCTGGACGATATGATGATATACAGTATAACATTAATGTAAGTGATCACTCGGATTTAGACCTATCTATATTGTATTTATATAAAACGTTTACAGGCAAATTGTCTTCATTTATTTCCCCGGAGTCGAAATCAGGCACATATAAATGTCAGGAAACACGATTCCTGGCTGCATGTCAATATCCATGGATCACTGGATCTTTGATAAGTTGTAAGGAACACTATATCGAGTCCAACTTTTAGTTTAAACTGATAATAGTTTGTTTTACTCGCGTTAACGCAGTTTCCCCTATTAACTCCAGTCACGCAGCAGCTCTTCTGCCACTCAGTCCCGCTGAGGGGGGCGTGTTCCGGCGGGGAAGTGACGTTAATGCATTCCCTCTATTATTTAGTCATGCTTGTTCTAAAAATATGTTGCTATTTTTTCCCTGTGGAACACAAAAAAAGAATTCAATATAATCTTTATGCAGGTTTTTTTCCATACAACATTTCATAGTGACCACACCTGTTAAGCACCAAAAAGGACATAAAAATGCCATAAAACTAGTCCATACAACTATACACTACTGTTCATAGTTTGGAGAGAGTTCGATTTTTTTTTTTTTTTTAAGAAATTAATACTTTTATTCAGCAAATATGCAATAAATTGAACACATAAAGACATTTATAATAATACTAAAGATTTCTATTTCAAATTAATGCTGTTCTTTTGAACATTTTGTTCAACAAAGAATCCTGTCAAAAAAATATATGACAGTTTCCACAAAAAATATTAAGAAGCACAACTGTTTTCAACATTGATAATAGTAAAAAGTGCTTCCTGAAATCAGCATATTAAAATGATCATATTGAAATTAATACTGGAGTAATGGCTGCTGAAAATTCATCTTTGCTATCACAGGGATACTCTTTATTAAAATAGAAAACAGTTTTTTAGTTGTAATAATATTTGTAACCATATAAATGCATTTCAAAAACATTGAAGATATTTAAAAATCTCATCAACCCCAAACTTTTGAATGGTAGTGCATTTCTAAAGCCATATGATAATTGTGTTTATAAATAGTGAATAATGGCTAAAATTTCAGTCTGCTTTTCACATAAAGCTATCGTATGGCTAAGACATAAACGCAGCACACAAGTCATAAGGACTACTTTTATGGTACTTTTTATTGGCAGACGTGGTCACTATGAACGGCTGTTGTATGGAAAAGAGCTGTTCCACTGAAAAAATAGCACATGGGTATGAACAACATGAGGGTGAGTAAATGATGACTTTTTGTGTGTGAACTACTTAAGGACCTTTGAAGGCTCAACTTGTGACCAGTGTTTAAAAAAAAAGCAATGAAGGTGACAACTTACACAACTTCTTCTGGCTTGGGGGTACCCCAACCTGGAGCCACTGTCCACATCTCCCATAAGGAAGTCAGACACTCTGAGTGAAAAAAAAAAAAGACAAGTCACTGCTGGGACACTGCACATAACATAACTTGACCATACATATAACACTGTTACAATATTATGATGTTGGTTTTCACAAAAATAATAATCAAATAATATAATCACAAATAGATCATTTTAAATAAAAATATGAGCAGTATAAAGGGATAGTTCACCCAAAAATGAAAATTCTGTCATCATTTACTCACCCTTATGTCATTCCAAACCTGCATAACTTTCATATTTGAAACATGAGTGAAGATATTTTTTATATTCTCTGATCAGTATTGTCTAACCATTGAAAGCACATCAAATATGGTAAACAAATGCTCAAACATACTTGCTTGATGGGTGAGAACCAATGAGGTTTGTTCCTGTGTGTCACGCAAGTATGGCTGAGTTTCAGTTGACCATATTTGATGTGCTCTAGGTATGTGCGCTGATCAATGTTTATATGTGAATAAAAAGCTAAATTAAATCTGTTCATCATATAAAACAACCGTGTCTCTTAAGAAGACTTGAATTAAATTGCTTGATTCATATGTATTACTTCATGTTTTTTTAAGTCATCAAAGTTTTGGTTGGATGGACTTACAATAGAGGGACAAATACCTCTAAGATTTGTGTTTCGAAGATGAAAGAAAGTCTTATGGGTTAAGAATGACAAGAGGATGAGGACATTGTTGATAGAATTTTCATTTTTGGGTGAACAAACTCTTTAAAGTAACACTGCAAAAGTTAATTTAATTAGCGGTAAGAGAGTGACTACAGGATGCACAGCTGACGTGTGCTGTAAAATCAGAACATGGAAACTGAAAGTAAATCTATACAGAGCATAATATATGTTTAAATACAGAAGAGAGGGCTATGGTACTCACACATTGCCAAAGGTGAATGCCAAAGTGTCGATCGATGTGTATATCTCACCAAATATAGTGCCTTTGTTTTCTTTATTGACTTCCTTGACGTTCACGCCTGTGGGAAGTGAAAAACCACATGAGAAGTGGAGCCAAAAGGCACCAAAATTACAATTATTATTAGATGATGATGAGAAACAGGGGCGTAGACCTAGATCTCACTGTGTTTACGGAAATAGGAATTTGTCAACAGCTGGGAGCACCACCATAGCTATTGAAGACAATGAGCACTTTCCGATAATATCCCTCATTTCACAGGAAACCAATTTTAATACGCTTTAAAGTCAGACTCATTTTGAACATTTTGGTCCCCAAAGAAAAGGAACTTCTAGGTTCTTCCTTACTTAGAGTCTAATGCTGCTTTCTACTAAAGAAACGCTTCCCTAGAGTACAACACAAATGCTAAACAGTTTCCATGTAAATAAATCAAAGGATGCTTTTCTTCATTGTTTCAAGAAGATGATTGATGACCCACCACATTGGTGCTAATTTTCCATGTTTTGAGCAGTTAGAAGAGAAATGGACATCCTATTGACGTTGAATCTGTGACAGACAGCAAGTAAAGTCTCCGAGAGGCAAACAAAACGTGCATTGACCAAGAGCTTCCTGTCTGCTAGCTGAGCCTCCCCTTTACAGGAAACACTGACAAAAGCTTGAACTCTCAAAACATTCAGAGGACGTTCAAACAACTTTCGCCCAACTTACCAACAACTTTAACTTGCACTTGCCGTCATATCCAAGCTCGATAGGGTAAAGCATAGATTAACCAAAAGCACAACTCCCTCAGAAATTCAGGAACTAACACCACATCCTAGTTCACAATAAAGCTCAACTTCCACTTTTTCCTGACATACAAGAAAAAGTGACGAGGCAATTAAAAAAAGCAACATCTTCAGCTGTAGTTTCCAGTTCCGCATGGGTACATTTTTTGTTGGATGCCACGCAAAACGCAGCGACTGTCGGCAGAGATGGGAACCCCCAACTTCAACTGCCACCCATAGGAGGAGACGGCGCTGGAGAAGAGAGCAAGAGAGGTGCGTGGCTCCTGGTGCATACCTCTCTGCTTCTGAATGCAGGCGGGCGGCTCAGTGGCCCCTACAATGGAACGCTGACTTCTTCCTCAGGACATCCTGCAGTTCCACAAGAATGCTTCCACTTCTGCCGCCTTCACAGCTCAAATACGAGTTGGGAATGGCTACATTCAGAAAGTAGTTCTCTCAAAGAAAAAACCTTGAAAGCATTTTTTGCATCATTGGACAGACTTCTTTAAAATTCTGTCAATAGGAATTAAAGAATCGGGGGTTTTTTAAGAAAAAAAAAAAACCTAAGAATGATTATTACCACATACTTGTGGCATTCAAACACATGCAGGTATCACTTTATCAGGTGCAATGCGTCATAAGATGAGATAAAATACCTGAGATAACAGAGTCTTCTCCAGATCAGAGGCTAAAATAAAGAGATAAAAAACCAGCGATTCAGATGCCACTGACTCGCTCAAGACTTGGGTGAGGGAAGAAAGAATTTCAATAACTTGAGACACTTGACACTTTTATTGCTGCGCCCCTGAGAGATTCTTCAGCAAAACTATGCAGCGTTTTTAAAAAAAAAAAGAGAGAGAGGACCGCATGGACAGAGCGTGATGGAGGGGGAAAAATGTGCATCTGATTTCCTGAAGTTCATAGCGTTCCATCAAGAGAAAGAAGGCGGCTGACATGAATGTGGGGCGTTAAAATGCAAGCAAGCTGAAGTGTGAGTGGGACGCTCATAATGGAATGTCGGCCTTACAGGTAACTTGAGGTGGATATCTGAGGTGACCGGTCTTTCTTCTCAACTTCCCTATTCAAAAAGATAAAAAAGGCCTCAAGCATGTCAAAAAAAAGACACAATCCACAGATTATCTTCCTTTGTTAAACTCTTCAGACTGTCCTTGTATAAGACACATGGGAGCTCAGAGGGGTCACTGGCCCTCTAGTGGCAAAGGAGGATACTTTAAACTGGCCACTTGAATCAATACTGCCAAAGTGAGGAAAAAACAGCTGGGATTTATGTTTATAACCAACAAGAAACACACATTCACTGTCAATATAGCACAGAAATCATCTGTTCCCTGTTTTGCAACCTCAATCTGGACTGCGAACTGCACTGATGTACACATGAATATTCCTTTGCACTAGCCAGAAGAAGAATTATCCTGACTAGGAGTGGGTGGTATGACCAAAATCAATATCATGTTATGAGTCTTTAGAGAATATATCACAATGTAGTTATTTTTGCTGAAAATTCAACCATCAAAATGTATTAGTATTTCATAACCCTGCAGTAATGTCTATTTGTTGGTAATCTTGTGACTTTTTTCTTTTTTTTACATGAAAGGAATTTTCATTTGTTTTGTTTTTTTTGAAACTTGATGGATGCAAAACAAAAGATAAGATTATTCATAACAAATGAACGATACATCTGCCATCCGTACAAAAACAACTGCTTCACATTATTTAACACTTGAGCCAGAAACAAGAGTTTAAAAAAAGTGATGAATTACAAATAGGTTTTGCAGTGGACTATATACATAAATATATTAAATTATTATTATTATTAAATAATTAATGCTTAACTCTTAATGTGGCTTAATGCATTAAGATATTGATCTTGGAGGAGAAAATTCTGTGTTTGAATAAAACAAACTATGTACACAGATGACCCCAGAAAAACTATGAATGCATACACAAACAATGGAACAGACCATTTTTTATAGATCAATTGTAAGTTGTTGATTCTTAAGTGGGGCGGAGCTGAAAGAGGATGCTAACCTTTGACTTTGGCGATAACGGTGCCAGCAGCACCAAGGATTTCCGACGAGTTCAGCGGCTGGTGTTTGCCAATGACGACCTTCAACACGCGTACGAGCTCCTCAAGTCGCTCGTTGACCACGTGCTGCGAGCACTCTTGATTTTCTGTGGGTGACAAACAAACAGACAGAGACCACAATCGCATCAGCTCAGCTTCCTCTGCGTGTGTAGGGGATGCACAACTTTAAATACAGCAGTAATGTAGAAAGCTTTGAAATTCACCCATGTGAAAGGTCCCCAAGCAAACACATGATGAGTTGGCATGTGTGACATTGGTACATCCTAACAGCACGCTTGTTCTGAGAAGGCTCAAACGGAGGCGTGTGATGGTGCAAGCCCCTGTGGTTAGAGACGATGAGCAGTTTATGAGGCCGTGGCGTGGCTGAGATGCAGACAATGCTCTGTGCACTTGAGAGATGGCTGACGTCAAGATGAGAAAAGAGCTCTGAGACAAACTTGACAACAGCTATTCACATCGATCCAGACGTGTAATAACAGATTTTTTTGACTGAGAGAAAGGTACTTCATAACTGCTGACTGCACTGGATTACTGATGTCATGGAAAAGGAGATCAGAGAGTTTTGACTTGCTTCTCTCAAGTTTTTGTTCTAAAGTTTGTGTTCAATAAGATATATTATGTAAAATAAATTAATACTTTTATTCACCAAGGACGCATTAAATTGATCAATAGTGACAGTAAAGACATTTATAATATTATTACAAAGATTTTTATTTTCTATTCATCAATGAATCCTGAAAATGTCAGTTTCCACAAACAATTAAGCAGCACAACTGTTTTCAAGATTGATAAGAAATGTTTGTTGAGCACCAAATCAGCATATTACAAAATCCAGCTTTGCCATCACATATATAAATTAAATTTGAACATGTATTAAAATGGAACGGGCGGGGCACAATAGTTTACTTGTTTGGTCATTAATTTACATATTTATTTACTAGGCTAGTTTATTTACTTATTTACTTCATTTTATTATCGCAGGAAATTAGACTCTTTCTCTATCATTTTGCGAGCAAAAATGGAGTTGGTGATAAAGAAAAATGTTACGTTGCATTAACTTATATATTTCACCCGAGAAGGTGAGCCTGTGCATATCACACATGCACGAGAGTTATGCTGTTGAAGGAGTCTCAAACCACAGTCAATTATTCCCTGAAAATGAAGTGAAAGCAAAAATGATTGAGCTTTAGGCATCTGACGGAGTGTGCCGCATTAATTCTCTCAGACACAACATGAGCTGAATCAACCTCAATGCTGATAAGGGAAAATCAACTATCTTAATTTATTGGCTTAATATTTTTTCATGTGGACCATACATTAATGATAGTGAAAAAATTAGAAGAATCAATATTTCTTGTTAAAGTCTTGTTTAAGTCTGTGTTTGATGCTGCTTTTGATTTTCATTGATGACATATGCTGTATGTTCTTTCTGTGTGCTGTGTTTGGACATAAAAACTGTTATTAGGCCTATATCATTTTAGTAATGATTTGATATTATTAATCATTTGTAATTGTATTGTTATTATTAGTGTCATTAAAATGTTTTGTTAATGTGCTATGGAAACAAAACAAAATGCTGACGAACAACGATGCCGTTTTCTCCTTGGATTAAAAAACAACTGTATAAGAATAATGCGTCTCTTTATTAACAAGCACTCTTGACAATTTGATGATGTCGTGATGTCGTTATGAAATTAGGGAAGGCAAATTAACTGTTGGTCCTGATATTCATCTGATAATAATACTAGCCTGATAACAATAATAATAATAATAATAATAATTCAATACATTAATGGGAAAACCAAGTATAATTTGATATCAAAGGCATCAGCCATCGGCGATATCTCTGACTATCGTCGATAGACAATACTATCGTCTATCGGCACAACCCTACAGAGTAGGCCTGTGGCAAGGAGGGGTTTAAAGAGACTGAATCTTCAGACTCTTTGAAAAATGAGGTGATGTGCAGTACTGTATATTACAAGTATTATTAAGGCTCAATCCCAATTCACCCCTTGCCCCTACCCCTTGTTTTCGAGTGTACCCCTTGGCCTTAAAACAGAGTTACAAGGGCCAAAGGGTTGAAATATTCCCCTAAGAAATGGATCAACCCTTCATGAACCCGATACGTCATCAGTCGTCCGCGATGGCTCTGCCGTTACGGAGTTTTTACAGGATTTCTCCATGACAACGACTGACAATCAGCGCAGCTGCTCTTAACTTTGAGGAAACATGATGTTTGTAACATTCCTTCCTCGAAATGTATGTCTTTTCTGTTTCGGAAAGGTAATTTATTATACAATTTCTTAATTTAAATGACTATATTATTATTATAAGAGTAAATAAAGTGCATGGTGGTGTCTTCTGGGGCTAAATTTAAATGTTTAACCATTTGCAAAGCCATCTCGCCGGTGATTCGCGATGTATTCTGCGAACTTTCTCGTAGCCCTCCGTTTGGAGTGTGCCTCTGAAAAATCTCCGTTTCGAGGGCTATGTAGCCCTACCCCTCGATCTAAACAAGAATCGAGACACCCTACCCCTAGACGAGAACGCGCAAAACGGAGGGGTAGGGCCAAGGGGTGAATTGGGATTGAGCCTAAGTGTTTTTTTTTTACCTGGGATGCATGTAAACCTATTTTAGGAGACCTCCAAAACAAAATTAGAAACCTTTAAAGTAGCATAATAGGGGCACTTTAAAGTCAATGTGAAACCCCTTTAAATGTGAATCCACTTCCGTAATGTGAATTCAAGAAACAATGCAGGGTAGGACTTGGTTTAATCCATTTGTAATTGATTGAAAAGTGGGCTTTCCATACCAGAATGAGCCAGACCGAATGTTGGCTCAAGGAATGCCTAAAAAGCAATTTATCTTTTAATATTATAACATTATAAACATCAAAAGCACATGCAGCCAAGTAAAGGTCAATTGTCAAGTAAATATGGTCAATTTTGATTTCATGTTGACTTGAAAGGCCACCAAGTTTGCTTTAGTCAAGTCAAGTCATCTTCATTTATATAGCGCTTTTAACAATGGAGATTGTTTCAAAGCAGCTTTACAGAGATAAACATACAATTTACGGTAACAGAGATTGTTTTGGCTTTATAGCGATTTTGAATAATGTTATTTTCAGCTAAAGTTGGTTTTGATTGATTCACTTCCAGCTAAATTATCATTTGTTATTACATTAGGGGCCACTAAGACGACGGCGTTCTCTCTAAACAGACTTTAAACGCGAACCTGTGACCTGATGGCGTTCACATGCGCATTCAAAATTGATTCTATAGTTATATTCGTTTGAATATGTGTGCGCAGGTTTGTAATTTCCCTACAAACCATGCCTAAACAAATTACTTGTCTTGCCTATAAATTTGATACCGAATTTTATTTTATCACTTCGGGGTAAACTAAATGGGGTAAAGTTTAACTAAATGACAAAACGTACACCAAAACTGTTTGCATCAAATTTGTTTATTCTCTGAAGGTCAAAAAGGTTATATTTAAATTAATTGTTTGGCATCCCAACAAACAACTAGCCTTCAAATACCCCCCCTCCTCACCCCCTCACCACCCACCCAAAAAAAAATATTATTATGCATGTTTTTTAAACAATAAATATTTAGACTTTTAGGCTGAAAAGACATTGGGATTAAAAAAAATTTGTTTACACCATGTGAACCCATAAACGAAAACCACAATCTCTAATCTCTCTTGTTTGCATTAGGATAAAGTGGACGGTGATTTGGCTGTGTGCAACGGATGACTTCATATCTAACTGAATGTTGCAAAGGGTTCGTGAAGTTTTGATAGCAGGAGCATCTGTTTTTTATCCTTTCTGTGCAGATGTACATCATGCCACAGGGATGAGACAGAAGCTTTATGAGTGCACAGTTACAACGTGGAAGGTATGTGTGTGTTTGGCGGAACAGAGAGAGAGAATCACTTCTCCCACTATAAAAAAGCAAGAAAAAAAGTAGGAAGCTCAAAATGTTTTGACAGTTAAGCATCTTCAATTTATCATCTGTATTTACCACCCTAAATTCCCCTCAGTGTGAAAACACATGGAAAAACACACATGAATAAAGATGTCAGGGAAAAAAGGCCATGACCCTGTGGCGCCAAAATGATGAGTGATGGATTTTTTGCCTCTCTATTATCTATAATCTCCATTATCACTCCTTTTCCTCCAACTCAGTCCCACGAATGCATGTGTAGCCTATGCAATGACCAACGTGTCAGTCACTTCTGTTTACATCAATTCTCGATTTTAATCGATTCTCATTTTGAAGAACCGATATCAATTTTTAAATCCATTGAATTGATCTTTAAGTCTATTCTGTTTTCAGTTGATGATTGAACAAAGCCTTGTAGACTGCCTCCCATCCTAAAAATGGCAATACGCACTTAAGCGCATGTAGTTCACACTACATCTCTTGTAGATCATCTCTTCCACTTTACTACTAGTTACAGCACAAAATAAATATGAATGAATATCATAAGGTATGTTGAAAGATACATTACAACTTACTGAAATCTGTATCATGTTACATGTAATCGCTCAATCAGTGTTTCAACCGCGGAAAGACTTCAATAAAACAGATTGTAAATAATGTCAAGTAAAGTTGCATTTACCACAGAAAAGCCATTCAATGTCCAAAAACTTGTTAGTCAGCTAGAAAAAAAATACATTTTTGCATTAAAAAGTGCAGAAACTAATAATATTACACTTGTTAATATTACAATAATATTACACATATTATGCCACAATAATATGGTTAAAGTAAGCATTACTACATTAAATCCATGATAAATGTTGGTGATTTATGGACTGAAAAGCCTTCTATAACTTGTTTGTTCATGGCACTATGTTTCTCCTGGTTTCCATTTCAGCGTTGTTTGTTGGCGGATTTGAATGATTTTTACTAGATCTCGCAGTGATAATACTGTGGTGAATTCAAATGCTTTCTTAATCTACTAGCGCTGTGCAGTAACGGTGTCGCGTGAGCAAACTCACACCGCGCTAATATTGGTCTGAGCTGATAAACGGCCCGCGCTGCGCAGCTCAAACGAGAACCGCGGTTACATAAA